TACCCGCCGCCCGCAGGCCGCCACCTCTGCGCCGCTCATCGAGCGGTCCATTGAGCGCGCCACCGGCATTGTGTACAACATCACCGGCGGCAAGGACCTGACGCTGCAGGTGGGGGCTGGAAGCGAGCGCCGGCTGCGGCTGTGTGTGTGTGCGTGTGTGTGGCTGTGTGTGTGAATGGGTGGGCGGGCAACGGGGGTGGCAGGGAAGGGCGGCGCCCGCGGTGGCCGCGGTGGTGGCCGACGCCTCGCCAGCGCCCCGGCTGCCTGCCTGGTGCGGGCCGGCGGGCGGCGCGCATCACGCGCTCGCCCCGCGCTGTCCACACCACGCTGTCCATACCGCTGCGCAGGAGGTGAACCGCGTGTCCGAGGTGGTGACCAGCCTGGCCGACCCCTCCGCCAACGTCATCTTTGGCGCCGTCATCGACGACCAGGTGGGTGGGGTGTGGGGAGTGGTGAACACTGTGTGTGTGTGTGTCTGTGTGTCTGTGTGTGTGCTCTCTGGTGTGTGGTGGGTGGGTGCCGGTGGGTGGGCAGGCGGGCCTGGTACTGTGCCGGCGCTGCCGCCGCGTGCTTTGTGGTCCCGCCTGGACGCCTGTGCCGCATCCATGTACCGCATCCATGCACCGCCCCCTTCCTGCAGTACGAGGGCGAGATCCACGTCACTATCATCGCCACCGGCTTCAGCCAGACCTTTGAGGACAACCTGTGGGGTGGAAAGTCCAGCGCGGTGCGTGGCGGTACAGCCGGCGGTACAGCCGGCACGCGCCCGCCGCCGCGCGGCCAGGACTGGGTGGCGCCGCAGCCCGTGGCCGCCGCCGCGGCCGCCGCCGCGCGGCGGAGCGGCAGCAGGGATGGCAGAGGGTGGGGCGGGGGGAACGGCACGGGCGTGCAGCAGCCCGCTGCCGCTCCCGACTCGCCGCCGAGCTCGGCGCCGGCCACGCGGCGGCACCTGTGGTGGTGATGTGGCGGCGGGCAGGCTGGAGGGTGGGGTAAGGGTTGGGGTAAGGGGCTTGTTGGCTGCGTGCACTGCGTGTGCTGCGTA